AATTTTACTGTAGCAATAAACTTTCACTACCACAATATTTAGAATATTTTAATTAATTGAAAGTGTGTTTCAAAATTTGCATTTATTTCTTAGCAATAATATGTTTTTGCAGCGATTACTGAAACTACAGAGTGTTTTTACAAATTTTTAGAACAGCTTCGAGAAAGAATTAAAAAAAAGTAAACGTTTTAGAATAAATAATTCTAACAACATCTTATTATATGAAATGAGAATTATTGTCTGCTACTTTTAAATTTATTCTTCTTTTAAAATGTCCCATGTAAACAAGCCGTGGATTGAAAAATATGGTTTTGCGCTTTCTGAAGATAAATATTCCTATCCCATAATTCAATAACATTGTGAAATGCAGGATATTAAATTTCGTAAGTACAAAAAGTGCAGCATTATTAAATAAAGACCGCTAATCATTAAGCCTACATGAAAAGAAGACTCGAAAAAAAAAGGTGCGTACTCTATCTAACGTTTCTAAAGTTAAATAATTGGTAACAAGGGAAAATCCGCAGACTTAGAAATCTATTTCAAAGTCTTTAAATACATCTGTAGCAACAATAAATAAAATAATAAATCAAGATTTACAACATAAAAAATCTGGTAAATATAACCTTTACGATTTCAAGTTCGTTGAACCCAAACCATTCGCTTTGCATTATACATTATTAATACATAAAATACCTTAATATTAGCTTCCCAAACTCTACTAACATATTACAGAGCACTACCGGTGCGTATTATGTCTCTAGTAAATACACTGGTGTGCAAAAATTAAAGACGAAGTCGAAAAATTAGCATATCCGCTGAACGAAGAGGCAGAGCGGACAGAAAGACCAATCAGGAGATTAAGTAAGGTGATGTACGGTAGCACATGCGCAGATATGCAGGTAGACGTAATGGGGGAGTCTCTGAGTAGTATAAAGCATGTTGTCGATGTAAGATCAGTATTTCTGGCAAAGAGATTGCACGCCGTATAGCAGTTAAAATCGCATCGAGTTGTTGCCTCAGCGAGAAATGGCGAATAATCAATCTGTTAGACAACATCTGGATGCTTTTGCCTAAGGTCGAATCATTGGGAAGTTGGAGGAAGGCCGCAGTGTGACAAGTGTGGCTGCAGAGTTCGGAATTGCTCACAGCATCGTTTCACGACTTTGGAGACAATTTCAAACTACAGGAACAGCTATCCGGGGGTTTAATAGTGGTCGTCCCCGAGGAACCACACCCGCAGATGACCGGTATATTGCCTTACAGGCCAGAAGAAACAGGCGGCAGACAGAGGCAGAAATTGCTAGACACACGACACAGGCGACTGGACGACTGATATCGCGTTTTACCGTGGCCAGAAGACTGCATGGTGGTGGTCTGTTTGCACGACGCCCTGTACGGTGTATACCTCTAACGCCTGCCCATCCGAGAAGGCGTTCTCTGTAGTGCCGGGAACACCGGAATTGGAGAGACAATGAATGGGGACGAGTACTCTTTACAGATGAGAGAAGATTCAGTCTGAGTAGCGATTCTCATCGCATACTCATCTGGAGAGAGCGGTAAGCCGCAATCATCCCTCGAACATCATTGAAAGGGACAGGTATGGAGGTGGCGGTGTTCTCGTTTGGGAAGGCATCATGCTTGGTAGTCGTACAGACCTTCACATCTTCGACGCAGGTTTAGTCAACGGGACCCGTTATTGTAACGAGATTCTTCTTCCATATGTGCGTCTTTTTAGAGGCGCTATGGGTCCGCAGTTCCTTTTCATGGACGACAATGCACCATGTCATCGCACAGTAGTTGCCGAACAGCTCTTAGAGAATGAGGATATTGAACGTATGGATTGGCCGGCACGATCTCCGGATCTCAATCCCATCGAGCATGTATGGGATTTTCTAGGCAGACGCTTGGCAGCTCGTACCTTACCACCAGTAACGATTCCGGAGCTTCGATTGGCGCTGCAAGACGAATGGGCAGCAATGCCTCAACAACTCATTGCCACCCTCATTCTCAGCAGGGGCAGACGCTGTGAAACCTACCTAGCAGTCAGGGGAGATCATATCCCCTATTAAAGACCGGATGTTTCTTGCTGGACACCCATCACAGGGATGTTTCCGCCTTCAGTCGCATTGCGCTCCATGCTACTCTTTCAATAAAGCTTCTTTTTATCCCTCTGATTTCTCTTTTAGTAAGTGTTGCTTACATTACTCATGTCCTTACGTATTGGGGATCTTACGGTATTAAATGTGTTGATTTGGAAAGCTTTTGTACAAAGTTATATTGAAAAAACCGTCTCGTCCTTAATTTTTGCACACCAGTGTATATAAAGCTACGTTACATCGAAAAGTGGTGCTTATTGATTATACAATGTTACTTATAAATCATACGTACATTATACATGCTTAATAATTATGCATACATTATACAACCTTATTAATTATACACACATTATCCATACTTATTAATTATATGTACATTTTGCATGCGTATTAGATATACATATTACGATTTAAATTCGTTGAACATTTAACCAAACCATTAGCAATTCATCGCTATGCATTATACATTGTTGATGTACAGAATACATTAACTATACGTTCCCAATCTCTACTCACATATTACAGAGCAGTACCAGTGCACATTATACAACTAGTGATTATATAAAGGTATGTTACATCAAGAAGTGGTTGCTTAATTATTATACATACATTATACATGCTTATTAGTTATACATGCGTTATCCATACTTATTAATTACACATTCATCATACATACTTATTAATTATACATATTATGATTTCAAGTTCGTTCAGCATTTAACTAAACCGTAAGTAATACTTCTAAAATCATCAAGCAGGTGACAGGTGACAGCAAGATCCGGACACCCGGGCGGCTTACACAGACCATTCGGGTACTGTCCGAATCCCGCAAATGGCCAGAACAATGCCCTCTCGGTGTCCCATGTGGACCGCATCGGGAGTTTATTTCAAAAGAGAAAGTGATCTGATTACTTAGCGTGTAACTTGGATATGGCGTGTATTAGTTCACAGTGTGCAGGTCAGTTCCTAATGCCTCTAATTTTGCCTAGTTTCTTTAGAAAAGCCGGTTGTTTGATCAAGAAACGTTTATGCTGCGTCGCCTGATCTGACAGATTTCTATGCAGCTGCTCTGTAAGGGGACGTGCAGTTAGATAGTGTTCAGAGCTGTCTGTGTCTCCGCATATGCAGCAATCTGTTGTAGTGATACCTCTTTCTCGATAATAAATGCGGAAGGGTCCAAAACCCCTCACAAACAAATTTTATTTGCGAGTACTTATTTCGTAAATATATTCAGTTTCATTCATTATATTCCTGGTAGTTCGGTCTGATCGAATCTCGCGAACGGGCTGGCTGCATGGGCGTTTTCGTGGTTTTCCCCATGTGTAACGTGTGTACGAGCCAGTTTCCCTTAAAAAATCCTCCACGAAGGCATCCCTCCCCTTAGGCAGAGAGCCCTCGTGTGCTTTGCCATAATTAAATACACCAACACCATTCATTATATTCTCGAAAATGGGTACCCGGACATATAAGTTAAGAAAAAGAAAAAAATTTCATGTTAAAATTATCTTTCATTTATAGTTTTTAAATGATATATATTAAAATAAATATTAGCTTCAAAAATATTAAAAATGAAAATTTGGAAATATTAATTATAGCAAGAAATTTCTGTAACAACTGTAATTTTTTATACTTTCCTTTCAAATGGCCGGACATTTGCTTCTGAAGCATTTGCCCGGAAGGAACGAATCCATCGGTCATTTAGTATCTAATCATAGAGAACACCGCCTGTAAGAAAGGAAACAGCCACATGAAAACAGCAAAGCTATTCGAGCCCCGACTCTTGATTTCGGGCAGTCAGCCAATGCTATCTACTATATTATTCAGAGCTGCAGTTCTTTCATACTAACACATGAAAAACGCTGGTTGAGAAACAACTTAACGTTATGCTATGGCAAAGCACACCAGAGCTATCTACCCTGCCTTAAGGCAGAATATTTACTTATACGATTTTTAAAAAAAACAACCTGGCTAGTACTCATGTTCCACATGGAGAAAATATTAAATCTCCCACGTTACCAATCTGTTCACCAAAATTTGAGCCTGACAACAGACTTCCAGTGTTTAGTTCTTTTATCGCCCGCCCAGACGGTATAGCAGTTAGAAGAGCCGATTGCGGTACCAAAGGGCCCGGGTTAGAATCCCCGAGAAGGCATGGTTGTATTTATCCGACCCTTCATAGAAGGCAACGGTGGCCCACCTATTGGTTGCTTCCATAATAAAGTGGCCACCGCGTTCTGGTCTATGTAGTGACCAACGTCTGTGGGCGGTTTGGCCCCGCCATTTTCTTTGGGGGGAAGCAATGTTTCGCCGCTACGTCAGAGTAAGAAGCAGGAAATATTCCACCGGAATGCGACGTTTGTAGATCTAAGCTAATGAAGTTTTCTTTTTCTGTCTTGTGAATAATATTAAACTACTAAAACACGCCGTAGTTGCATTTACATTGCGCTTTGCTCAGTATTTCAAGCCTTTTTCTTCAAATTGTATTCCGTTTAACGTTACGTGTGCTCATTGCCTAAATTTTACTGTTTCCATTATCATGAAGTACATTTAATGGAACAGTAACCCCTTTAAAATTTTTAAAAATTCGATTTTTCAATTTTCTGATATTTTTATAGCTCAATCATTTCTGAGTAATTTGGTGCAATTGTTTCTATCATACGTTCATTAGTTTGCGAGATATTGAAAATAATGAAAACATCGAAGCAGCTGTTTTTCTTGAACCTGCAATGATCGTGGCAACTACTGTAGTGTTTTTTCATAGTTTAAAAGATCTCAATTTGGATTTCGTGTGCTGAAAGTCAGCCATTGCTATTTTTAAATAAAAATATGTCAGCGGAAGAAGACGAGATGAAACGTTACTTCTACTTTAATTTTGTTTTGATAAGTCTTTATCGCTTCCTTATTACGTCGTGGTAGAAAGTGAGAGCTAAGGTTATAACTTTATATTTGAGTTGGAGCATAAGGCGCTAAAGGGAAGCCAAAGCTTTAAGAAGAAGAAGAAAGCTAAGGTTAAAGAGTTTTGCGGTGTTCTCTCAAGTTACATGAAAATGTCTTTCGTTTCAAGTACCAAAAGCGAAAAGAAACATAGGATTTCAAAGAAGTATGATCATACTATCACTCAAACCAAGAAAATTACAAGAAAGAAAAGAAAGGAATCTTACAGGTAAGGTGACAGAAATCTTAAATTTGATTTAGTTTTCACCTTGTTACTTTTTCTTCAGCGTTATGTTATAACATTACTAACGAACTAATTTTATGTAATATCATGGAAGCGAATAAATCTGAACTTAAATCATTTTTGAATAAAAAAATTATTAGATAAAAAGGAATTTTAGTTATTCATAAATATTTAGCATGAGTACAGAAATCTTATCACTTTTTTTTTGGTACTTGCGGAAAATCTCGTCGACCACAAGAGACGGCGCCAATCGCGCCAAACCAAAAAATCCTATTTACTAAATACCAAAAAAAAATCTTTCAATTCTTATTTTTCTTTCAAACTCATTATTATAAAGAATAAATAAGAATGAATATAATGAGATTTTCCATAACTTTGAAAATATTCAACAGCATGTTCTTCTGTAGAAGGCAGGTCCCAAATCTTAATCTTTTTTTTTTAATCGAAAATGCGTGATACAGGGGGAAAAAAGGGGTCTTTACTTCTTTACTCAAGAATAATAACTAACACGTGTAATTTCAAGGTTACACCAAACCCAGCGTGTTTGAAGAAGACTTTTCCATTTTTGGCGAAAGGTCGCGTAGTTTGACGTCTTTTCTTTAATAGACAAAAATGGTCGACGGGATTTTCTGTAAGTAACCATTTTCCGAATTTGATGTTAAATATTCGCAAATGCCTCGATTTAATAAAATTTACTTAGCTTATTATTTGGTGAGAATAAATAATTTGCTGAAAGTATATTCTTTTAATAAGCCGTCTTGAATACACCCTAATGTAATTTGTATAGCATCATCTTTTGAGAAATGATAAATGATCTGAAGTTAAGGATTTAAAAAGAAATCTGGCACCTGATAATAAGTGAACCTATATGCTGCTGTCATTTAGCCAGAATGTAATTTTATTCTGGTTAGAGATTCCATGATTATTTTTGAAAGTGGTTTTTATTGGATCCTCTAAAAGTCTTTCAAATGTCAAATTTCCACGAAAATTTAGGTTTTCCCCTAATTACAATTGTTATTTTAGATTTAAATGACTTTTTCATGCCTATTCTGTTTATATTTCCTTCAAAAATACTTTTCACAGCAATTTTACTAAAGCTTCATAAAATGCTAACTGTGCTGCTTAAAGAGTAAAATTTGTACAGCTATAATCGCTAAAAATATAATGTAATTCTTGAATAAATGAGTATTTATAGAATGACTGATTGCTTTAAAAAAGCAAATTTCAGTTAAAATATGCATTATACAACGTTTTAAGTACTTGATGGTTATTTAGTATTAGTTTTGTTTTCAATAAACGCTCCCTTTCCCAAAACGTGTATGCGAATGTTTGACCTCGAAATGTTTAAGTGTAAATTCCAGCCCAAAGATGGTTTGCTGAATTTCTGCTACTTAAGCCCCCTGGTTGATTTTTACATTATGGTAACTTGGCGTTTTTTTGGCGAAAATTTGGCGACCAACTCTCCTACAGCAACCCTCTATTTTTTTTCCCCGCCGCCATTTTGTCTTCACGAAGTAAAGACATGTTTCTTTTCTTTTTATCTACTGAACACTTCTTCCAACAATCTAGTAGCCGAATTACACTTATGTTAGAAATTTTATCAAACAAAACTGCTTAATCATGACAAATATCACTGCAAAATTGGGAAAAAAAAGTGCACAATACTAACTCCTTACGCGTTTTTCAAAATAACACATACACATAAACCATGTACACGGCGGCGACTTATTTTTACTTAAAAAAACATCCCAGAATTGCACAAAAATGGCATTGCGCACACTCTTCACTATATCCATGTACACTGCTTTTTTCTCATAAATTAGAAAAAATTTCACGAAAATACATGACAATTTTCTCAATCTTAAACCCGGTAAAAAGAACATATATGAAATTACCTGATCGCGAAAAAGTATTTACCCTTTACAAATATGAACATTTCCACATATAAAATAAAATAAAATATCCAAAAACTTTTACCTCTAAATCATCTATTACATTATACACGTCACCAACGAATTCATACCGCAAGCATTACAAATACTTAATATCAAATATTTAAATTATTTCCATGCACGTTTATTTCAACTTAAACGTATACCAAATTCCTACAAACATAAAATTCACAAAATAACTATCGGTGAATCTTTACATTATGGTAACTTGGCGATTTTTTGGCGAAAATTTGGCCACCAACCCTGCTACAGTAACCTGCTAGTTTTGTTTTGGACGGCATTTTGTTTCCACGAAGTAAAGGCATTTTTTTTTTTTTTTAACTCAACATTTTTTCTAGCAATCAGCTAGCCGAATTACGTTTATACTAGAACTTTTATGGAACATAAATGCTTAATCATGACGAAGATTGGGAGCGAAATTGGGAGAAAGTGCAGAATCGCAAACCGCTTGCCGCGTTTTTAAGAATCGCACATACACGGTATCCATGTACACGTCCACCTATTTTCACTTAAAAAACATCCCAGAATTGCACAAAAATGGCATTGCGCACACTCTTGACTTTATCTATGTACACATCGACCTATTTTCACTTAAAAAGTCAAAGAAATTGACAAAATCTAATTTTCTTACTCTTGTAAAAGCGCCAAACAAATAAGTGGGCGATTCTGCACTTTAGCAGCGAAATTGTTTCTAAGTGCTTATTAGCTACAATCACGATCGGAATTTTCAGGAAAATGTCACATTACATATCTCATGATCTCTTATTTCTTTAAGACAAAATAATCTGAGATTCGAACTGTGTACTTCTCAGATTATTGCTAAAGTCCTAGCTAGTAACCTTTATCGCCTTACCAAAATGTCGCCAAACTACCTGTTACCATATTCGGTAAAATCCTAGTATACGGTGCAGCCTTGGCGCGACTTTGAAAATTATCGCCAACATAAAAAATGGTCCAAAGAACGTCTCTATATATATACTATACACTATATACTTATGTGTGTATATACATAGTATATACTATGTTTAACTATATATTTTCTTTGAATGACCCACTACTCATCGCAATGTCCCGTTTTTACTGCTCATCATAAAGTCGCCAAAAGTAGCCAAATCCCGTGTGCACCGGATGCTAGGATTAAACTCCATATTCTAAAGATTAGCCAAAACTTTCTATTTTGCAAGTTGAGTATTAGTGAAATGTAAATGTTAACTAAGAAAGTGAAATCGAAACTAAAGTTTACTTTCATTTATGCTAGCTGTATTGAGAATTTCCCTGCAGAATTGACTACTTCTGCCTTCAGGATAAGAATGTTTGCGAACATTCTCTGAAAGTGGGAAGATATATGTTGATTAGACCACTTCCTACTCGCGTGTTTAGAGACCACAACTTTGTAACCCTAGCTTTGACTCCCGATGTTTACTCGTTTTCTTTTGCGGCGTGACTTTCGTCTCTCGTCGCTTTCCATCTGAGTGGCATACAATGTAGTACAAGAGACCGTAGTCTCCATACTTTCTTGACCGTTCACGGCTCGTTATGTGTCCTCAGAGGCTTAATTTTGCTATCTAGCTAATTAAGGGCCATATGTGCAACTCCATAATGTGCATCTCTAAAAGTGCTGGTTTTTATAGTTTTTTTTTTTTTTTTTTTTTTTTTTTTTTTATTACGATAAAGCACTCGAGGAGGACTTCCTAACAGAAACTGGGTCGTATACACGTTACACATGAGGGGGAATCACGAAAACGCTCCTACCGCAAGTCCGTTTACTGGGATTCGAATCTTGACCGAATTTCCAGTGTTCAGTGACTTTATCGCTCGGCCACTGGTGAGATCTGGGTTTTTTATTCGTTTCATAAAGAAATTGCAGAAATTTGCAGCGGTCTACCTACCTAGAAGCACATTTGAAAATAAATATTAAATTGTTTAAGGTATTTTGTTTTCTGTTTTGGTTCCGTTTTCCATGGTTTCCTTATTTTATAATCAGTTTCTTCTTCTCATTCGATTATTAAGACAATCTTGTCTTATACTAACTTTTAAATATTTTGCGTATTTTAGTTCTCAAATCTCGGCCGACAAGAGTAGAACTGACTTCGACATATACGTGCAAAGGCCTTTTTTAAATGTTGCCATAGGTCATTCATTTATACTAAACAAAATTTTCAAAATCATTCATTTTTATAAACGAAGAATTACTGTTGAGCATTTTATGTACAAAATCGTCTGCTTTCCGTTAATGTATATCTATAAGTCATGTCTGTCTTACTAATTATGTCCTTGAAAGTTTAATGGGTTCTTCAAATGCAAACTATTTTCTACAGCAACATGGAAATTCTTAGATTTTTATTCCAAATATATTTTCTGATAAATTTCTGCACTAATTTACCATACACAGCGTTACAAAAGTATCAATTTAGTTTGTACCCACATGAGAGTTTAATAATTCTTTTACAATGCAGATCTTTTAGCTGAAGCAAGTGAAACAGTTAACTAGATTTTAATTAAAACTGCTCATTTCTTAAAAGCAAAGAAAATAAAAGGCTATTTCTAACAATGCTTAATACTCCATTTATATTTTTGTTAGACAATGGCAAAGCACTTGAGGGCTATCTGCCTAGTGGAAAGGATGCTTTCGTGGAGAACCTTTCTAAAAGAAACTGTCTCGTATATACGTTACACACGGGGGGAAGAACCACGAAAACGCCCATGCAGCCACCGTTTGCCAAGATTCGAACCCCGGACTGAACTACCAATGTTCAGCGAGTTTACCATTCGACCCGTTCTTTCAGTTAGGTACACTTCGAATGCTTTTCCATAATAAAAAAAAAAAAAAAAAAAGGAACCCAATACCTTTTGAGAGGTCAAATTGAATTGTCTTAATGTCAAGTGTGCCTCAAATTCATGAGTCTTGTCTGCTTAAATCAAATGAGAGACTACGTCTACAAAACAAAATTGTTACAATAAAATTTTAATTTTTAATTGCTTTTTAATGTAGCTTTTCGTTCATTTTATTGAATACGCATTGAGCATGGTATA